AAGCTATCTCCTTGGAAGGGTGTGATGAGGTTCGGTAAACGCGGGAAGTTAAGCCCTCATTATATTGGACCTTATGAGATCACCGAACGCATTGGGCCAGTTGCCTATAGACTTGCCTTACCTATAAAACTATCTCGGATTCATGACTTGTTTCATGTATCCATGTTAAGGAAGTACATGCCTGATCCTTCTCATATTTTAGAGCACCAACCTATGGAGTTGAGTGAAGATTTGACGTACGAGGAGCAACCTGTACAGATCTTGGATAGGATCCCGTTAGTGAAGGTATTATGGAGAAGGCAAACTGTTGAAGAGGCTACTTGGGAACCCGAGGCGCAGATGCGGGCTGAATACCCTTATCTCTTCAATTAACAGGTATGTAAATTTCTGGGACGAAATTTTTATAATGGGGGTAGGTAAATTTAAAGATTCAAAAACAGAAAAAGGCATCAAATTAATTGAAGCACCTATGTCTAATAAAGCATGTTCAAACCTTTGATTTCCAATGAGACAAGGTATAGTAAAACTCCCTGGATCCTTTAGTTTACGAGGCAATTTACGCAATAGCACAGCTGAGACTTCTTCACTCAAGGCCACGGTTTCATGCTCTTTGAACTTTCTCTTATTTGTACAAAGGTCTTTGAGGAATTTTGCATAGCTTGGAATTTGTTGGATCGCATCGAGCAAGGGAATGTTCACTTGTACTTTTCGAAAAGTCTCTAAAATATCTTTTGAAACTTGCTCCTTCTTTGAATTCAAAAACCTACGAGGAAAAGGAACTTTTGAAGTAATCGAATGATTCACAAGAGAACTTACCTTAGAGTTGTCACTTGGAACCGTAAGCTTGGGAGAGGGGGCAGCCACTGTTTTGGTTGAATTTCTCTCCTCATTGTCAACATTTTCCACCTCTTTTCCACTTCGAAGAGTAATCGCCTTTGCTGTTTCATGGCCTCCATTAGGATTTGGAATTACTTGGCTTGGAAACTTTCCTGGCTCTCTTTGACTCAAGGAGGCTGCAATTTGTCCAACTTGGTTTTCAAGGCTCTTGATTGTTGTAGACATTTGTGTCTGTGTTGGCCTTGTTTCCTGCATAAAACCTTGAGTGCTTAATGCCAAAGAATTAATTAACTCTTCTAAAGACTTACCTTGCCCATGAGGTGGTGGTGCATTTTGTTGAGGAACAAACTGATTTTGTTGAACCGGGGCTGTTTGCACATTTTGGTTGTTCTTCCATCCAAAGTTAGGGTGTTGCCGCCATCCCGGATTATAGGTGTTAGAAAATGGATCGTTTCTTGGCTTTTGTTGCTGCATACAGTGTGCTTGAGCCATCTCTTCTCCATCACCATACAAACTTGGACAAGACTCCGTAGGATGTCCGGGATTAGGACACACGGCACACACTTGTGCTTGAGGGATTAACTGCTTAACAAGGTTAGTCAAATTAGCGATTTGAGGACCAATATCACTAGCACTTACCTCATAAACGCCTGCTTTCTTTGGGGGAGCTCTCTGGTAATTAAATTGTTGAGAGTTTGCTGCAATGTTCTCAAACATTTCCTTAGCTTGAGTAGCACTCTTGTTCATCAAGCCTCCTCCACTAGTAGCATCAACCATCATCCTCTCCGAATCAAGTAATCCCTCATAAAAATATTGCATAAGTAGCCAATCTTCAATTTGGTGATGAGGGCAAGAAGCTAGGAGTCTCTGAAACCGATCCGAATACTCATGAAATGATTCTCCATCTAGTTGCTGCACTCCCATGATCTCCTTCCTAATATGGTTTGTCTGTTGAGCTGGAAAGAACTTTGCAAGGAACTTGGAAGCCAATGCTGTCCATGTGGTGATAGATGCACTAGGCAAAGAATAGAGCCACTCCTTGGCTCGTTCCTGGAGTGAGAATGGAAACAAACTCAATCTGATTGTCTCATCACTAATCCCTCCATTGTGCATAGTTGCGCACACAGCAAAGAAATCCTTGATATGTATGTGAGGATCATCCCCAGCCTTACCATAAAATTGTGGCAAAAGGTGAATGGTGCCACTCTTGATCTCAAACATGGTTGTAGTGGTTGAGTATGCAATGCAAGACGGCTGGTCCAATGCTTTAGGAACTGTGAAATCTTTCAAAGGTCGGGTGAGGTTGTTGAGTTCCAACTCGTCTCCCATCTTGATTGGAAGTGTATCGTGCTTATTTTTATCTCGATGGAGATAGCAAAGTGTGTTCTCTAGTTCAGGGTTGTATGGTATAAGCTCGTGACTCTGCGAACGACGACCCAGCATATACCTGAAATTGTAAACAAAAGTCAATTAGATTGACAATCCCAGAATGGGTAAGGCTGCTGGTCAAAAGTTGATTTACTTCTAGTAGCCTATGCATATGGGTTTACCTTGATCTTGACAAGGTACTGGGAGCAGCTTGTGTTCACCTGGGTTTCCCTTAGTTTTGACAAGGTGCTGGATATTTTGACTGATGTGGGATATTTCCAAGTGTTGTGGGCTATGGCTATTGGATGTCTTTCTAAGATGTTTGGACCTTTTCTTAAGGTGATGGGCTATTGGGTTTTCTCTCATGCTTACCCATATGTTTGGTCTCAAGGAATGCGCTTGAGTTTTGGTCCTCCCAAGTAGCCTAAAACTTCCACTTCTTGGACCATTAATGGGCCTCGTGAATACTCGTAACCATCCATACCACAACCCGCTCAACAAGCCCCAGGCATTTGTGTGGCTGGGGCCCACTTAATCTTGTAGCGTGTTGTGTTGCTTATTTGCTTGGCGTGGCACGTGTGCAAGCACATGTGACGAACTCTTGCGTACCCAAGCTGGGTTTCTTCCCAAGCTAGGTGTCGTACTAGGCTAGAAATATATTTGGGCCCAGCCTTGGATTTTTGGGGCCTCAACAATGGTCATGATGAGCCCTAATATAGTTGTGGTGAGCCTTAGTACAGTTCTGATAAGCCTTAGTCTGATTCTACTAAACCTCGGTATGGTTCTTGTAAGCCTTAATATGGTTCTAGTTAGTCATAATACGATTCTAGTAAGCCATAATATGGTTTTGGTGTGAGTTAATATGTTTTTGGTTAGCTTTTATACGATTCTAGTAAGCCTTAGTATGGTTCTAGTACACCTCATATGGTTTAGATAATTCATAATATAAATTTGATTTGCCATGTTATTGTTCTGGTAAGCCATAATATGGTTCTAGTAAGTCACAAAATGGTTCTAGTGAGCTTTAATATTGTTTTGGTGAGCCTTAATATGGTTCTAACGAAGCCATAAAATGATTCTAGTGAGTTTTAATATCGTTTTTGACATAACCCGACCCAAAGCTACTGGGAGGTTGGCAGACTCATCAAGCAAAGTTGCTGGGAGCAAGTTCCAAGCCA